GTATTTTAATCTGATTTGTGGCCTCTGTAGCTTCTAGGACTGGAGTGCTGGTCTGTTGCCATTAATAGAAATGGACTGTATATTTTTCCCCCTTTGGCACAGGCTTGCTCCCCATACTAGACATTTGTTGTAATAGGAGTCTGCTGTAATGATATCTGCTCCCCACTCCCATTCTGAAAGCGAATTAAGGCTGATGCAATCTTTAATTCATAGTGTCGAGGAAAGAAGGTGAACTTAAATAATGTAGCCTTGCGTCAGAGACATCTTATACTCATTAATAATCACTCAGGGACCAATCAGAATTTTCCCCTGCTGTTCAGCTGGGTCACAGCTAACATAAGAAATTGTTTGAGAATCACCGTTTTGAACTAACAGGTTTCCTCCCCCGCCCCATTGGAAAGGAGCTTAGCTGAGTCAGTGTTTATGACAGACATTCAACTTCCTCAATATTTTGTTTTGAGCAAAAGCAAAAAATAATATATATTTTTTCTGTTTTGAGGAAAATGTGACAGGCTCAGAAGCAAGTCTAGTACACTAATAGCTTCGGGGTTTGGACCTTAGGGGACAAAAGGAGGAAGCTTTTATAGCTGAGCCTGGTGAACTTGTTTTCTGTCTACATTCTGATAGTATCTGTCAGGGAGGATTGAGTTTTCTGGGATAACCGCAGGCCTAAATCAATCTTTCCCATGTATATTATTTCAGTGGGCATTCCCCCCCTACATGTGAGCAATCCCAGTGTGCGACATGGCACTCCTATGCAAGAAATAGGGGACAGTCAGAGCAATTGCTGGGATCATAATGGGTAGATAAAGTGACATAAAGAATTGTCCCGAGGACTCCACAGAGGCATGTTAGTGGTGCAGAAAGAGAAAATGCTTCTAGTTGTATCTGTATACACCTAGTTTACTCTTCGTGCAGTTGCAGTCCTATAAATAGCTAGCTGGCAGTGGTGATCTCAGCTGCTTGTGTTCACTAAAACTATGCAAGCTTGACCCTTAAGACTCAAAGTCTCTCACATAAGCTTGAGATATGGACCTGAGGAGACCCAGGTTTACATCCCTGTATGTCCTTGAGGCTCACGTGGGTCAGTTGCTATCTTTCAACCTAACCTATCAGAAGGCGGTTTTGGAGGTAAAACAGGGATATTGAGGTGGGTGGGAAATGAACTTTAAGCTGAATTCCTAGGAGAAAGGACAAGATAAATATTAAATAAGATAAGCTTGGAATTACTCCAGGATGCGTGCTTTGAAGACGGCTGTTTATATCCATTTGGGATCACAGTCCATGCCAGCTAGTTCATCCCATTCACTTTTGTAGCCAAATGAGATGTGCTGAAAATGTGACATCCTTTTCTTAGCATGTTGTTTTTTATTGTTTATTCACAAAACGTATATCCCACCTTTTTATTTTATTTTTTTATTTATACATTCAGCTTATATACCGCCCTGACCCCGAAGGGTCTCTGGACGGTTTACATACACAGTCTAAGTCTACTTTCCCTATCTACGGCCACATGGTACAGGGGCAGGGACCGGCACCCAGGTGGTGGGGCTTGCTGTTCTCCGGCTCGGCTCCTACTTCTTCCGGCGGTCTTTTTGCCCTTAGAAGGGCTGCCAAAGTGGCTAACAATTTAAAACATACAGGATAAAATGACATTACATAACCATTAAAATCAACACTCTCCCTCCCAACCATACATCATTAAAACAATTATAAAAAGAGTTTTAAAAAACAGAGTTAAAATATATTTTAAAACATACAAACGTAAGGGGGAAATCACTGAGGGAATGCCAAAGGAAACAGTAAAGTTTTCACCTGCAGGTGGAAGACAGTAACAGAAGGGGACAGACAAATCTCCCTGGAGAGCGAGTTCTGGAGCTTTGGTGCCATGACTGAGAAGGCCCTGTCCCACGTTGCCACCCGCCTGATCACAGAAGGTGGGGGCACCTGAAGCAGGGCCTCCAAAGATTACCACAATGGTCAGGTGGGGTGATAAGGGATTAGGCGGTTCATCAGGTATGTTGGTCCCAAGCCATGTAGGGCTTTGAAAGTCAAGACTACCATCTCGAATTCTGCCCGAAAACAAATGGAAAGTCAGTATAGATAGACCAAGACTGGAGCTGTATGGTCCTTAAGACTCAACTCTAGTCAACACCTCGGCTGCAGAGTTCTGTACCAATTGAAGTTTCCAAACAGTTCTCAATGGCAGTCCTATGTAGAGCGCACTGGAGTAATCTAAACTAGACGTAGCCAAGGCATGCACCACAGTGGCCAGATCTTTTCTATCCAGAAAAGGCCACAGCTGGCAAACCAATTGAAGCTGCTGAGTAGGTCCAAGAGCACCCCTAGACAATGAAACTGTTCTTTCAAGGGGAGTGCAGCCCCTTACAGGTGACACCTTAAATCCTGGGTCAGACCTTTCCTCCACTGGTAGCCCATCTAGTTGGGATTAAGTGTCAGTTTACTAGCCCGCACCCACCCCAACACTGCCTCCAGGCACAGGCTCAGGGTTTCTACAGCCTCCCTGGGATCAGCTGGAAGTGCGAGATAGAGCTGAGTGTCATCCGCATATCAGTGACAAGCCAGCAGTTTCATGTAGATGATAAGAGCATAGGGGACAGGAAGCTTGCGAAACCCAGAGGCCAAAGGCCGAGGAGATGAACAGCAGTCCCCTGGCACAACTTTCTGAAACCCACCCTCTAAGTAGGACTGGAGCCACCACAGAATGGTGCCTCCCAATCCCAGTCTAGATAGGTGATCCAGAAGGATACTGTGATCAATAGTATCAGAAGCTGCTCAGATGTCCAGGAAAATTAGTTGCCTTCCCTCTGTTCACTCCTGGCACAAGTCATCCACCAGGGCAACCAAAGCTGTTTTTAGTCCCATAATGAGGTCTAAACCCTGACTTGAAGAGGTCTAAACAATTTGCCTCATACAGGAAACCTTGGAGCTGTCCAGCACCACATGTTCAATAACCATGCTCAGGAATGGAATGGTTGATAATTGGATCTCCTGAGTCAAGGTTAGTTTCCTTAAAAGTGGACACTATGCTGGAGCAACCACCCCGTTTCTTAAGGAAGCATTTGCCTCTCAAACCCAATCAGCCATTCCCCCTCCCAGGAGATTTAAGTAACCAGGAAGGGCAAGGGTCATAAAGCAGGTGGTAACTCTCAAACTTCCAAGGATCCTGTCGACATCCTTAGATTGAATAAACTAAAAAGTATCCCAAACATTTGGTCAAGGTAGCACCCTGACACCATCCAACCCTCATTGCCACAGAGTATGCTCTAAAATGAGCTTTTGCTCATGTCCTATCAGATTCAACCCAAGTAAGCCAAGGGGCAACCTGGGCTCTTAGACCTGAGAGAGGGTGCCTGGGAGTGATTGTCTCAACTGCTTGGGTCATTTCCTCATTCCAGAGGTCGACCACGGCATCAACAGGAGCATCAGCCATATGCACAGAAAAAACCCCTAGAGCCAACAGGAAGCCATTTGGATCCATCCATGATTTTAATAGATCCCCCACCTCTTCAGAGTCTTGGTATCCTTGTAAGTCTAAAACCAAGCCAGCAATGATCTGTCCATGACAAAGGAATCATCACTTCCTCCACCCTAAGATCGCATTGCTCTTGCCTAGAACAAAATATCAGATCCAAGAGTATGACCTGCACAATGTTTAGGACCAGTTACTACCTGAGAAAGGCCCATGGTTGTCATGGAGGCCATGACATCCTGAGCTGCTCCTGACACGTGAGCCTTGGCATGAGTGTTGAAGTTCCTCAGGGCAAACATTCTAGTGGCCCTCAACATAATCCTTGAGGCCAGCTCTGCCATCTCAGGTAGGGAGACTGTTTAGGCAGCAGAGTTAGTAGTACACTAACAGAATTGCAATTCTCTCAATTCCAACATTAGTAACACAGCCTCAAAACCAGTAATAATGTCCTGGATTGGACACCATGCTAGGGGGTAGAATCCTTATAGACTACAGCAACACTGCCTCCCTGCCTGCCAGATCTATGCCGATGTATCACCAGCTATCCCTAGCCAAGGCTCAGTGATACATGCCGGGTCAGCCCTCTCTGCCTTTCCTGTGACTGACCTGGCATTTAGCAGCAGGATCGTTGTTGTGGGTTGGTTCTTGACGGGTTGTTATGGTTGCCAACGTCACTTTGGCTGGTAGAAGAACCAGAAGGGGCAACAGCATGCAGTTGTCTGCTTTCCTTTCCCTTTAGTTCAGCTGTTTGAGACCCTAGTGCCATGTGATGGAGTGCGCTCCCATCTCTGGCCCCAGCTCCTGCCGACCTAGCAGTTTGAAAGCAAGAAATTGCAAGTAGATAAATAGGTACCGCTTTGGTGGGAAGGTAACAGCATTCCGTGCGCCTCTGCGTTTAGTCATGCTGGCCACATGACCACGGAAATGTCTTTCGACAGTGCTGGCTCATCGGCTTGGAAACGGAGATGAGCACCACCCCCTATTCTGCTCCCCCCAGCACATCTCTTCCACCAGTAGGCAAAGGAAGAACATCTTTTTAATATACAGACCCATCTGGATCTTGGAAACAAAAAACAAAGACAACACTGTTGTCCCAGTGGCACATCAGCACATCACATGTCTAATGGAAGTCCATAGGGAGGCCAAAAAAGTTAAATGGATCTGGCTTAAATAATTCAGCTGTAATAACCAGATCTTGCCCTATAACAAGTATTTGTAGTTAAGGGTGTTGGACTAGTATGTGTAAGATCCAGCTTTGATTCTCCACATTTACCATGGAAGCTTTGTTGGCTGGACGAGCTTGGGCCAGTACACTCTAAGCCTAACCCTACCATACAGGGTTGTTGTGAGGATTAAATGGAGGCGAGGAGAATGATGCAAGCCACTTTGAGTCCCCATTGGGGATAAAGGCAGAGTATACAGGAATTAAATCAATGTATCCTTAAAAAAAAAAAAGTAATGGTCTTTTTTGAAAGTGCATAATTCCCCCCCCCCTTTTATTTTCAAGGTGCAGAGCATGGAGAATGATGAACTTCCGCCAGAGGATGGGATGGATTGGTGTTGGATTATATCTAATAGCGAGTGCAGCAGCCTTTTACTACGTTTTCGAAATCAATGAGACTTATAACAGACTGGCACTGGAACATATACAGCAACCTCCTGAAAAACTCAGAGATGAAAGCACCTGGACACACTCCTTAAAAACGCGACTGCTGTCCTTGCCTTTTTGGCTGTGGGCTATTATCTTTCTAGTCCCCTATTTACAGATGTTCTTGTTCCTTTACTCCTGCACCAGAGCTGATCCCAAAACAGTGGGCTATTGCATCATTCCTATCTGCTTGGCTGTTGTTTGCAATCGTCACCAAACATTCGTGAAGGCCTCCAATCAAATCAGCAGACTGCAGTTGATTGACACTTAAAAATCATTCTGAATTTTCTCATGAGCTGTTTTAGATAATCATGAAGATGCTTGGCTGTGTCAACGAAACATGTGAATGGAACTTGGGAGTCTTTTTTGTCAAAGCGTTAACTACTGATTAGAGCTTCTGCCTTCTATTTTTTAAAGAAAGTTGCTTTTAAATATGGCTAATTTATACATGGTAGAATGACGGGGGCCCTCTTTGAGACTCGAGAGGGGCATTATTCATATTGCCTTACGACACAGAATTTCTACACTCCATCTGAATTTTTGTGAGGAAACATATTTGAAACCTTAATTCACTGTGCCCATGATACCCCAACTCTTTTAAGTGGAGAATCGATTAAAAAGGACTTTTCCTTTGTACTAATGTATAAAGTTTTGAATGATTACAAAGGTGGCATATAAGACACAGTTGTGTTTTCTCCTTCAACAGTGTTGCACTCAATAAACCAGGGCTCCATTCATAACATATGACTGAATGAAAATAAAGCCTTTGTTACTCTTTTCCTTCATGCTTGCAATGGTACAAAAGTAACTTGCCAGTGTACAGCTCTTGGGCCAAACTAGTTGTGACTTCAGGAGATCTAAGAATGTATCTCCCACAGGTTTTAGAAATGTAAATAAAAGAGATGAAAACATTAAGGGGAAAAGGTTAAACTAACCCCTGGTAACTCTGAGCCAAATTATGCCTCCCTGCCCCTCAAGTAGAGATGTCATATCTGGAAATTTTGAAGGAATGGAACAAAAACCATGTTTTTTTCCCCTCGTTTTTTTCAGGAAATTTTTTTAGGGGAAAGTTGAAATATATACTTACTGTTCTATCAAACCTAAACTAATTTTACTGCTTTAACAGTATAACATGAGTAATTTATAACTTAGTATATAGAATTGTAACATTTGACATACTTATGGAATTTAAAAGTTATAAATGCATTAGTTTTGTACAAGCAAAATTGCAAATATACTGAATACCTAAGAGAGAACTTCAAGCTCATGTACCCTATGCTATCTTAGCACACGTTTCTTAATTTTTGCTACCTGGTTAGGGAGACCTAAGTTCTCAGTTATCCTCTGGGCTTTGGCCTAGTTTCTGCACCATTCCCTTCTGATCTTTTTTCTCCCTCCTGCAAGGTAGAGCAGTAAGGTACTTTCCCCCCAGACTGTGGGTACATGTGTCACAGTGGTGTGAGGAAGAGGTGAAAAGATCAACCAGATGATGTCAAAAGGACAACAGAAGGCATGCAACTATTGAGAAGCAATAAAAGTCCTGTGTACTCCCATCATGAACATTAGGTCGCCTTCTAGGTATAGAAAAGCATCTTGGATTTAAGAGCTGTCTATTATCTGCAGCATGCCCACCATGTTTTTAAAAGCATTTCACTCATTCTAGAAGAGAAAACATTGTAGGAGGTTTTTTCCTCAGTAAACTCAGTTTCGAATTTTCCCACTTTTTTTCTTGGCCCCCATATTTCTACCCCCCAATTCTATTAACTGCTCTTAAAAACAAACAAACCCTTAAGGGAGATCTATGTCATATTATTCCCAGTGTGACAACTAGTTTGGCCCTTGGATCATGCCTCATTCCATGAATGAGTTGGGTTTAGAATGATAAAACGTTTGGGAGAAATTGTTTACCCTGAGGAAGTGGTTACTTGCAAGACTATATTAGAGCAATGATAAACTGACTCAAATACAACAAACTTCTGAACTCGTAGGGCTCTTTGCTTTTGGCTGTTCAGATAACTAACCGGTTTCATCCTGTCAAGTTTTCTGGGCTTGCAAGCAGAGGACTTGGCAGTTTTTTTTGCTTTGTCTATTTCAGTTTCTTGGGCCAAGTCCTCAAATGGAAGTTGCTTAAGATTCACTGCCATTGTGCAGCCATTCATTTGAGTGTTCGCATCTCAGCAGTTTAAGTAAAAAAGAAGGTATTTGGGATTTTATTAATGATTTTTTTTAGCAGGAAAGGGGTACTGCAGCTCTTTAGCTCACATCAGATACCTGCCATGCTTCTGTCTGAATTTGTTCCACGTAGTGCTAGGCAGATAAAGAGAATTCTGGACTATATGAGCATGTTAGATTCTACACAATCAGAATGCATTTCTAAACTTAATCATATACATGTTAATTTGGAAGTATGCCTCATTGATTTTGGTGGGACTTGCTCTCAGGCTTATATAGGATTGGAGCCAGGCTTAGGACAGAGAGTTCAGCAATGTGATACAAAAACAATGCCCTGTTGGAGATGTGAATTACATGGGTCTAAGTATGTTCACTGATTTGTATTCAAGCATCTATACCTGTGAGTGCAAGATTGGGAATATTATACATAATGTGTATTAATGTGAGTTCATCACCAATTTGAAATGGGCAGCTTGGTCTCAGGCAAAATGAAATTCCCTGCTTATGGAAGGAGTGGTCTAAAAATCAACATTTGCCTGTAATAACTCAGTTGCCTTCTTAGTTTAAATATGTGCAAATAATGTGAACTTCTATTCAGTTTAGGCTTAAACTGTTGCCTGCCTCAGAGAAAGTCTTTTGCATATTGCAAGCTTCACATAATTGGAATGTGTTGGAATTGCCTGTATACAACTAAATGGCACGAGAATCATTTAGAAGGCTGAATTTCAACAAAACCATTCCTTCGACAACATATAAAACCACTCCTGAATGAACTTTTGCCAGTGAACATATGTGATATTCAATCATCCTTGTTAAAGAATTAGAAGGTACATTGATTTCTTATTGACAATCTGGGCTGGATGCTAAGCCTTGCTTTTGTTTGTCCCTTATGGAATTGGTCTGGCCATGCAGTGGTTTCCTCTGGTACTTGGTGCTTTGGGTCTTTTTGAAAGATGCTAGTCTTAAGTGTGTATAAGCTCCTAACATTGCAGGACCAGCTCCTGCCATGGAAAACAACACGGCACAAGCAAAAAGCAGGCTTCTGATTCAAGCCTTGGCACTGAGGTCTGCAGTAAAAACCCAAACATGCACACCAATATGGCAGGACCCAGTGTTTTGTCTTTCCAGAGCCAGCGCAAAATAGTGGTTAAAGTGCTGGACTAGGCTGTGGGAGACCCAGGTTCAAATCCTTATTGCACTACAAAGCTTGCTGGGTGACTTTGAGCTAGTCACTGTCAGGCTACCTGTACTTACAGGCAAGGCCCCCTCTAAGCTGTGGAGTCTTGTAGCAAAATTTTTACCTTGTGAGCTACTGGCATGAAAGTTGTGAGCCAGCGATTTGGCTACTGCATAACTTAGTTTGCTCTGGAGCCAACCTTCCTGAGCGAAGACTAAAATGTGTGAGCTGGAGGCTAAAAAAAACTGCGAGCTAGCTCACACCAACTCAGCTTAGAGGGAACACTGCTTACAGGGTAGCTGTGAAAGTGAAATGTAGAAGGGGAGACCCATCTATACACCACCATGAGCTTCTTGAAGGAAGGGTGGGATACAAATGCACTAAATGAATGTTTCAAACTATCTACGATACGCAACAAGCCCCCCCCCCTAAAAAAAAACCTTGTGGGGGGATGCCATCCCCCTCATGGATGAGCTGGCACATCCAGGCCCAACCTTGGACCACAGAGTCTGGAAGCCGCTCTGAGCCCGGCGTGGCTCCTGGCATCTGCTGTTACCACACCCAGGCCCAAAGTGGTTTCTGGCATCTGCTGCCACAGCCAAGCCTGGAGCAGCTCCTGATGTGTGTTGCCATGGCGACTGAGCCCCGAGTGGCTCCTGACATGTGCCATGGCTATGACTGGGCCTCAAGTGGTTCATGATGTGTGCTGATGCCCGTGCCCTGAGCGGCTCCCAGCATCCACTGATGCTGAGTTAGACCCTGAGTGGCTCCCCATGTGCTGCTGCCATGGCCAGGCCAACCCCTGCAGCATCTGCCGCCACAGCCAAGTCTGGAGAGGCTCCTGATGTGTGCCACTGTTGCAGCCAAGCCTGGACCATCTCCTGTTGTCTGAGCATGTGCAAACAATGTCTTCTATTTTTAAATTGGGGGGGGGGAATCTAAACATTTCAGATTTTTCTGCAAACCTGGAGAGTTCCCCAAGTTTGCTGAAAAATCTGTTTAGCCTCTGTGTGGCCCCGATCTGCGAAATTAGTTATCTGCAGATGGGGACACATGTGGCTAATAGTATGTAGATATGTTTGCACATTCAGCATCTTGTGAACATAGCATACTTGCAAGACTGCTTCATTAAGAACTGTGCTGTTTAAAACCTGCAATACAGGATTGATGGGGAAACTCCCTTCAAAACTGTCTATATAGCAAGAGACAAACATGGGCTAAAATGTCATACTATCTTTTACAAATACAGCCCTAAAAGTTTTTATTCCAAAGGCTCCTAAAATTATCTAGATATATACAGCACAATCATCTTCCTATTATAATGTAACTGACACAAAAATGCCAGTTCAGGGGTTCCAGATTTATTTTGTTTATAGTTTCTGTGAAATGATGAAAGTTTGTTTGATATAGAATATTTATAGAATTTATTTTAACCAGTGGAATAAGGACTTGCCTTTATTTCAAGAACAGGGAAACTCAACTGACTTTCCTGTAAGAGGGAGGGGCTGTAGCTCAGTGATAGAGCATGTGCTTGGCCCGCAGATATTTCCAGGTTCAATCTCGGCTAAAGACACCAGGTAGTAAGTGATGTGAAATTCTTTTTCTGAAGACCCTAGAGAGCTGCTGCCAATGTTTCAAACTATCTACAATAGATATACAATAGGTTTGCATCTAGAGAACTGCTGACAAAACTGATTTTGATGGCCCAAGGGTCTGATTCCGTATAAGACAGCTTCATGCTTTCAATGTATAAGACAGCTTCTTGCTTCCCACTTCAGCCAACCAATCTCAATTAAACGCTGCTTTTGGGGAATAGGCGACTGAGGAATGACATGAAAGAACGTCTGCAGCAGGAAGCGGGAACTGGTAGAAATCGTCACTGCCGTCTGGTTGATTTTCAAAAGTTTTTGGTTGTAAGGAGCTCATTATCACAGGTTCATTCTATCAATGAATTATCAGCAAGAATAACAGTTTGCTTGGTGAAAGATGAAGCACTAAATGAAATGATTAAATCCTAGTAAGGCACAGGTGAAAGCACACTTCAAAAGGTGGTGAGTTGACAAATCTATGGCGACATAAGCTAAAATCCTGTCTACAAGCAGAATGAATTGATAAAATACTGACAAATCAGAAGCATGACTAGGGCTTTACTCCTATAATCACTTATCTGGGATGAAGCCTGATTGAACGGTGGGATTTAGAAGAAGATATTGGATTTATACCCCGTCCTTCACTTGGAGTCTCAGAGTGGCTTACAAACTCCTTTCCCTCCCCCTCCCCACAACAGACACCCTGTGAGGTAGGTGGGGCTGAGAGAACTCTGACACAAACTGCTCTTTCAGGAACAGCTGTGCCAGAGCTTGTGACTGACCCAAGGTCACATCAGTAGGTGTAAGTGGAGGAGTGGGGAATCAAACCTGGTTCTCCAAGATTAGAGTCGGCACACTTAACCACTACACCAAACAGGCTCTCTTCTGAGAAAAAAAATCAGAGGTTCTTAACTAAACATAGAACTACTCTATATTGCACAAGAAACATGATATTGCCTGTATTTTACAATGTTATTAAGAACAAGGCATCACAATTAACATAGTTTTGATGTTTTACTTCGATAGGGTTTATACAAGCACAGTATGATTAGAAGTGATCAAGAACTTCAACATTATTTACAAACATAGGTCATTGAGGTTGCAGTCCTAAGGACACATTCCTGGGTGTAAGACCTATTGATCTATAGGGGACTTGCTTCCAAACAGATTTGTACAGGACTGTGACTTTGGGCGTTACAGGATTCTAGCCATAAAAGGGGACAATCTTGTACTTGCTACTCTGAGCTTAACGGAACATCAGTATGGAAACAAGATGGTGAAATATGTGTACCCCAATGTCTACAAACCATTCAGACAATTCTCTTGTTAACTAATTCAGAGTCCATTTTGGGATCTGTTCCAGTTCTTTGGAACAGGCTGTCTGAAGAGGAAGCCCAATTTCATAGGGTGAAGCTGTCTTTTGTAGATGGGCATTTGATTGCTGTTGCTTCTACAGTTTCTTCATCAAGAGATAAACTTTAGTCTTCTTTTCCAAGAGGACCATGTTGGTAACAGTCACTCCCTCCCAGCTGTCATGGTGAAGGAGCTGGGAGATTAGAAAGGTCAGAGTAAAAAGAGTGAAAGGCTCAATGAAGTACTGGGAACCCTGGCCAAGTGAGCTTCTTCCACAGCAGAGATAGGCTTACTGGTAAGAATATTAGTGTGTGAAGCTGTTCTGGGTTTTAATAATTTTGTCAACCAGTTTGGGTTGATTTGTGAGCTGCCTTGAGTTGCTATGTACAGTGAGAAAGTCAGAATAAAATGTTTTCATAAATGGCAAGATCCATAAGAAGATTTTGTGACTCATCATACCGTACTAAAAAAAGTTACATCCTCTGAAGCTGTTAAATTAAAAATATAGGGCTGAGAAAGTAACAAAGAAAGCTTCATTGTACATGTACGAGTCTATGCATGCACGTAACTGGAACTGTGGATGGGAACAACTTTATTGAAACACAGAGTTTAATTTTTGTAACCATTACTTCAAAGCAGTCTGTTGTTTGAAATGTTTGCTATGCTAGTATCAGCTGAGATGCTTATTACAAAGAAAAAAAACTCCCTAAGGCTGAGAAATGGGTATTTAAAATTGTGTTAAATTTAAATATGCCAATATATTTAACAATTGAAACTGAATGGCCATTCTCACATACATAGGATTTTAATCGGTATTTACAGCTTTCAAATTATAATATCACACTGTACAGCCAGAGAATTCACAAATAAATACAAACATCTACTTTGTTGTTAATAATAGTAAATATTAAAAAAGACATTTTTCTGGCTATCAAAATGGCACAGAAGTATTCGAGCAGAGAAAGTCCATAGATTTACAATTTCAATTCATACAAAATTCTATTTACAGCTTTTGTCAGGAGTGAGTTTTTGTCCGTTTTAACGGTGGCCCATCGCCACATGGTTTGGCATTAACATGATTTTCTTCCTCGTCTTCGTCCTCTTCACCTATATCCTCCTCCTCTTTTTAAAGACAAAAGGCGCATATTAGCAAATTACATACAAGAACCCTTTCCTCAGGAACGGTTTCCCCAAAAGTACCATTCCAATATACTCCATGAACTGGGGCCTGACTATGGACCGCCTACGGTTGTCAGCCTCCAGGTGGTGGCTGGAGATCTAATGCTATTACAACTCATGGCCAGGTGACAGAGATCAGCTCACCCGAGGAAAACGGCCACTTTGGAAGTTGGACTCTGTGGCATTATGCCCCCAACCCCCCCCTCCTTAGCCCCCCC